ATGGCTCCTTGTCTGCGCCTCCTCTCACCTCAGCCCTGGTACCCAGGGCTATGCTACCTGCCACAGGGCTGAGGCAGTGCTGCTCAGGCTTGGGGGGAGCTGGGGGGAACTTCAAGGCCCGCATCCTGCTCCTCTCTACCCACCCTCTCCAGAGGCTCCTAGTAGGTGCTCACTAATGTCCACCTATGGAGGCCTGGCAGTACATGTACATGACTTGAACAGGAAAGGTAGGAGTGATCGGGGGAGGTGAGCATCCCTGGGCTAGGCTGGGCAGTTCCTGGAGTTGGCATCTGGGAGAATCCTTCATGTGTCCAACTTAAGGCAGTAACTGGGACATGCTGCAGGAAGTTTTAATTATCCTAGGGCCACCAGAGCAAACCAGAGTGGGACCAGAGTCTGCAATGAGGGAAACTCAGTGCCCTGGGTCTAGAGTAGTGGCCATTGGAGGGGCTGGCTGTGCATTCAAGGAAGGCTTCCTGGAGGAGGGGCTACCGGCTGGGTTGATGCAAGGGAGAAGGTAGAGATGAGTCCATTGGAGAAAGTGGTGAGGGACCACCACATGGAGAAGAAAGCTCTGCCTGTTCTTAACCCCCGAGGGGTCAAGATCAAGGAGGCATGGATGGGCAGGATGAGCAAAGAGGGCTGAGGCAGAATGGAGATAACATCAGTGCCGACACCATGGTCAGGGCGGGTATGGATGGTTGGGGCTGGCAGGGAGCAGGTCCCCAGCTGTGGCTGGGAAACATTTCCTGTCTCCTTGCCAGGGGGGTCATTAATAATCATTTACCCGCCGCAGGCAGCACGGAGGCCAGCCAGGGAGCAGCATGGTGCTGGGACCCGAGCCCAGCCTAGTGGCCAGAGAGCTGTATTCTGGTACTAGCCCTGCCGCCTCACTAGACACAGACCAGTCACCTGACCTCTCTTAGTCTCTAGGCATGCTGGGAAAAGAGGGTCTGATGAGGATGCTATCTTGAGTCTCCTCACTCCTCTGGGCCTGTTTTCCTAGACAGAGCTGGACTGCCAACACTTCAGGGCAGTTAGGGACATTTGGTGATGGATATGAGCATTTGGGCTGGGCTAAGCCCAGCTCAGGACACACAGGCTAGGGAGAAGGGAGCCCTAGGCCCAGCCTTGGCAGAGCTTGACTCTGGCAGGAGCCAGACCCTAACACCACAGGGTACACACAGGGAGCCTCCCAGAACCAGGTGCCCCAGGCTGTGAGCAGCACAGAAGGGAAGGGCTGCCTGCCCAGGACCAGGGGACCGAGACTGGACACAGAAGAAGAGAGTTCCACAAGGCCAGTATGGTCATCACTATGACCCCAGCACTAAAACCGTGCCTGCCTGGTACCCAGCAGGTGCTTAATGAAGGCTTTTAGGCAACTGAGTTAATCTGTTAAATGAGACATCTGTGAAAGAATCTTGGAGTTTGGGAAGAACTGCCTGAAAGATGATGGTGCCAATAACAATAAAGATAATTCTGGCCAAAGACAATGGGATAGAAAAAGGTGACATGAAATCTTGAGAAGGCTGGAGGCCTAGGATAACCATCTAAAACCAGACAGTACTTCCTGGGGAAGGGCTAGCTGCCTTCAAGCTCTCCTTTGCCAGTTGGCCAGAATCTTCCTCAGTCCCAGGCTACATTTCTCTGCCCACTCAACAACCCGTTTGAGGCCCAGCTCAAGCTCATTCACTTGAGAGAAGCTTCTGGAATGTGATGCTGAGGTATGCATCCCAGCTCCTTCTCCTGACTGACTTGGATCATCTCTATGCCTTCCATTCTCTATGCATCCTGGACTTTTATACTGTCAAGTACCTGTTGGTAGGTTGCCCAGTAGGGCTTTCCCATACCTTTCTCTGGAGAGTATGACCTGGCTCTTCCTACTGACTGGCTCTCCCCCATCAGACTAGAGGGCCCCAAAGCATGACCAGGACTCTCCTTTCAGATAAGGCTCTCTGTGAGGACAGAGACTATTTCTGCCCCATCAGACATGGGGTCCATAAAAGTACAGGTATATTGAGGTCTTCCCGTTGTCTCCCAGCCCAGGGACCCTCCACAGGGCTGCAGCCACACAGAGAAGGGAAGGGGAGAGGTGGGCATGGCGAATGAGATGGCTGGGTTGCTCAGCATCCCTGAGGTGACACGAGCCAGGAAGGGTGCTATGGACTAAGACTGCATGGTTTGCAAACCCACCCAACTCCAGGCCCTAGCCCAAGCCTCTTGCACCAGGCAATGCTACCAGAGATATCACCCAGGCCTCACTGCCCACACTGGGACTTCTCCTCTCTTCGGAGCACTGAGAGGGGGTGGTAAACACAGTGACCTTGCTGACATATGCATCCTCTCCCCCGCCCCCCTCCAAACCCAGGCCCCAAACACAAGTCAGGCTAAGAGGAAAAGAACAAAGCTTCCCGACCGCGACATCGCCTGCCGCCCGCCTGTCCAGTGCCTGCTCCACCGGAAACCCAAAACAAAGGCCTTGGTCACAACGAGGAGGATGAAGGGCAAAGGGTAGGGGCAGCCTGTGTTGGGGGGGCATGTGAGAACGTCACAGGGCATCTCCAGGGACTTGGCTGGGAGGGGATCAAGGACAGGAAGACAGCCAAGCCTTCCCTGCACACACACATCACTCCGCAAACATTTACGGGGCACCTGCTGTATTCCTCATGACCCAAACCTTACATACCTCATTCCCCCTACCACACACCTCATGCACATACTCCCTCACCCCCTGCAACATGTTCCACAGCCCTCAACACCCCCACACCTCCACACACACCCCTAACTTATGGACACCCCTCTTCATTCCTCACCACACACACACACAGCTCACAGGGAGAAAAGATCACATCATCCACACCTCGTGCCAGAAGGCTACATAGCTCAAACACCCACACTTCACACCATATCACACCCCCTCTCCCACCACACACCTTCCACCCTCTCACTCACCTTCCAACCACAGACACATGCATCCAATTAAATTCAACACACACGCCACCCAGACACAGAGACACACGCAGGTACACCCTGCATAGATGATGTGCACACCCGATGTCACACGTTTGCGGGCACACACAGCGCCTCAGTACAGACTGTCCTGCCGGCCCACTGCCTCCTCCCACCCCACCCCCACCCCACCCCACACACACCTGGTCCACTGGCTCCTTGTCTCAGGCCCCTCAGTCCTGTGGCACCCATTCCTGTCCAGAGTTGCAGGAGCAGCCACCACACAGACACATGACACTCAGACACCAACACGCAGGTCTTCACACTTATATTCCCAAAGCAAACCTAGGATGCGCCACAGTGACACTAAGACAGTCACCTTGGCTGCAAACACACTCAGGCACATTCAAACCTCCCAACTCCTCTCTGACAAGGCATCCAGTGAAACCCATCAGGCCCCCACAGCAATTCTTCCTGGCTACATACAACAGCCAATAACATACACAACCACACATACAACCCCCCGTGCAAGCTGCCCCACAACAACTCCACCATGCAATGACAGACATACAACCACATACATACAAGTTCCCCGCACACACAACAGTCACACACCCAGCTATCACTCCACAGCCTCAACACTGCCTCCCTAGCCACACACAGCATGCAATGCCACAGACTCAAAATCCTCACACTCCGCATAATCTCCCCACAAATAATCCCACTCATGATGACACAATCAGACACAGTGCAACATGCATGATGACACACAAAGTAACCCAACACCTGCAACCCAGCCTGTGTTACACACAAAGGAACACACATAAACACACACACTCCAGACCCACCCAGCCCTGAACACATCCCACCACAGGTGACTGACACTGGTTGCAGTGTATCCCTCTCCCCCACCCCAAGCCCCAGCTGCCACAGTCAAGGCCAGGGCAGTGGGATGAGGGGCTTTATAAGTTACAAATGCCAGGGCCCCACTGTGTGGTCCCCCATCCCTGGGCACCACCCGAGGGCAGCACACTCCATGTTAGGCCCTTCCACCTGAGCCCCACCATGTCATGCCTGAGAACATGGGGAGGGCTGGAGACCCTGGGGACACTGGCCCTGCCCCCTCAGCCTGCCTCCTCCTCACCCCAAAGCAGAGGCAGATACAGGAGGAAGGGATGACCAAACAGAGAGAGTCCCTGGGGACAAGGTAGAGACCTAGCAAAACTGGGGGGAAAGATGGAAAGACCAAGACAGGTGGGCACACAGGGCAAGAGATCAAACAAGAGAGAGAGAGAGAGAGAGAGAAAGAGAAACAGAGACAGAGAGAGAGACAGACAGAGAGACTTGGAGAGAAACCGGAGAATAAAGTGGGACCACCACACCCGGAGATAAAACTGGGCAGGGGGGAGGGGAGACCAGCAGGAAAAGACTGGACGATCTCGAATACAGGAGGGAGGAAAGGAATGGGGTGGGGTGGGGGTGGCGGTCCTGCAGAGGAGGAGAGAGAAGCCCTGATGGAAGGAGGGGTTTGGAACCTGAGGTAGGGTCCAGGCTGAAGCTGAAGTCTACATGTTTGGGTGGGAGCTTGGGTGGGTGTGCAGTTGAGGCTATGGAGTGGAGGTCTGAGGATCTGGGGTGATGCCCAGGGGTTCGGGTGCTCTGGGTGTGCCTGGGGTCCCATATGCACAGTGAAGGTTCGGAGGCTCGCGCAGGGGTCCTCCATTAATGTGGGGGGAGGAGCACCGAGGCTTGAGCAGAGCTCTCAGTGTGGGCTGGGGTCCCACTGTGGCTTGTGGAGTCCGGGGTCCGAGTGGGGCCGAGCGTCTGGGGCGGCGTTCGGATCTCGAGCTGGGCTTCAAGGGCTCCGGGGTTGAACCGCAGTCCCGGCACAGGAGTAGGATTCAGAACTCGGGGAAGGGTCCCCTCCCTGAGGAGGGCCGGGGGCTCAGGGGCGGAGGACCCGGAGCCGGACGCCGCACGCTCCGCGGAGGACCCGGCCCGGCGCTCGCCGGACGCCCCGTTCTCCTCGTGCCCAGCGGGGGCCCCCCTACCTGCAGGCTGTCGGCGCATGGCTGCGGCGGCGGCGGC